CGCGTGTGACAGGCTGCCTCGTTAGGGGGGTTAGCAGGCCTCGGGGACGGAGGGGGCTGTGATGAACGAAGCATCAGCTCCGGTAACATCGAAGGAAGGAAGGAAGGTTTTCCTGTTGGGATAAATGTGGTCACAAAGCAGCGGCTGTAGGGCTCGGTTACCATGAAGCGGTGGGGGGTTGTATTGAGCGTGTATGTGGTGTTTTATGAAATAAAGCAGGTTCCAGAACCAATACAGCATTACTCTAGACTATATTTAGCTTTTAGTATTCTGTCATGCTCGTCAGCACTGCAAAAGAATTTATAATGCAAAGTAACATGAAGAAGACATGATTAAAATTGAAATCAGGCTCTGACAGGTATCAGACAGAGACAGAGATCAGCAATTTATTAACAGGTTTGGTGTTATTTTTACTGTGGTAGTTATTACAGCCAAGCTGTCAAGTGGTTTCAATTATTAACTAAAGTTATGTAATTGGGAGTTTGGAAACATACATTTGAGTGGCCTACTGAATCTGGAAATTGAAAATGGATGTTCAAAATGATGTAAAAATATAGTTCTGGGCACTATTACTTAAAGGGCTTTGTAACAGTGAGTTTACTCATCTTGTTTTCCAAGTGAGTTCTCTGAGCATTCATCTTAGATTATTACAAAATTCAAAGTAATTGTGTGATGGGGAGAATAAGATGTGATCTAACAAATGGCCTATAAGCAACTGAATAGCTACACGCATATTAAAGCTTGTGGATTTCTGGCAGCTGGTTCTATTGTGGTTTAAATTGTGCCTCACTTTGTTTCTTCTCTGAAATTTCTTCAGTTGGTCCTTAAAAGCATTAACATATAATTTATCATTTTTTACTTTAAAAAAGCCTTTGTAAACAATTTCCAAGATTATATCTTCTGCGTAAGTGTGTGAGTACATTATAAGAAGACTAGTTTCTTCAATGACATAGCATTTGTTTTTCTATCTTGGAGTGACTTCTAGTGATAAATAATTTAGAAGTGATTACTTGTTGGTGATGCGTAGCAATTAGCTTTTGCATGGGGAGAAAAACCCTGAGAGCGCCAACAAGAATTGTTGCTGTTCTTGTTAGCTCAGTATTCCTCAACAGAAGGAACAACACTTCTAGCTGTGTATTGCAATAAAGATATTAAAATAGCAACTAAAATTTGGATATTTGATTTAGGGTTAGGTAGGAAAATTTGGTCCTCTGTGACCATTACCAAATTCTTTACAAGTAGTGCATAAAGAACAGAAAGATAATCTAATTTCGAAGAGGTTTGAAAGCTATTATAAAATCGCTAGATGCTTACCTGATAGCATAAAGTTCACTTGATAATTGACTAGGCACACCCTTTCTATGAACTGTTTCTGATAATGCAGCTAGTCTGTCTTGTCTTTCTGTTGTGTTATGATTATGAAACATGTCACAGTGTGATTGCAAATGATCTTCAGAGCCTTGAATTTCCTGTTACTCCTTTTTTTCTTTTATTTAAATTATGCCCAAATAATTAGTATTTTCAGAAGTTTTTTAACAGTTGAGAGTTAACAAATGTGTGAGAAAGTGTGCAGGTTATATCTGAGTTACATCTACACGTGTATGTATACATTTACCTCTTTCAAAACCCTACATTTTATACGTAATTGAATTGAAAGATCATTATTATTCAGTCATCCAGACCATCTGGTATCTTCTGAGAGTAAACACAGCTTCTAAATTTGGTGTATTTGAAAGTGTAATGCCTTGCTGGCAGTGTTCAATTTACTCACAGGGCTAAGGTCAAGAATTGGTTGAAGCCTCCCAGGAATTTAGAGGTATCTGTTTACTAAGTACTGTACTTAAGTAATTAACAAGCTCATATACAGTGCCTAGCAAAATGGGAACTTTGTCTTAATTGAATCCTCTAGTGTGGTTATAGTAGCCCTTTTTGAAATGTTATATTTGCTTGGTAGTATTCCTTATCTGCTCTTTTCATCCCTTAGGAAGGTCTCCCCTCCTCCTTCTAGCCCTTGGCTGGTACTGCCTACCCACACAAACTGTTTTTTAGCTTGGTTGTTCACTGCTCTGTGTGCTCAGCAGCATCTGGAGTTGGAGCAGCAGGAGACTTGATGGGTTTGTGTTTGTAGTCCCAAATGCCAGTTCTGCCACACCTACCACTGATTGTTTTAATAGATCTTGATTTTATCATAGCATTGCTTGGTGATCCTCCTTTGGGATGAAGTTTAGTAACTTCCTTCTCTTTGGAGAGATTTAGTTGCTCAAAAGCAGAAAAAGGAGGCACTGAGCAACTGCAGCTCTGGGAATGTCTCTTTTAAAAAAGTTGCTACCCCTTATTTTAGACTAGCTAGGCAATGAAAAGTAAAGGCAGAGTTCTTCATCTTGTGAAGAAATAAGTTTTATTTACAACTATAAGTTTCATAAATTAATTGCAAACACCAGCATGAATTACCAAGGCCCACTTTCATCAGACCACTCATCCTTGTGTTGCAACTTTTTAAATGGCAGACTGTGGTATAGCCTCCTCTCATGAAACACTTTCACTGGTAGCCGTGAGGACTTTTACAAATTTTATGCTGGTCTCAATGAGAATACCTTCTTTAAACATACATTCTTGCAGCCAATTGTATATCCTATTTATGGTGTAACTCAGTAAGTTGGGTTTTTTTAAACTTCCCTGATAATTTATAGCAGTTGATCATGGTTTAACCTGCTTCTGTATGATAAAAAAATTAAACCAAATAGATAACTGTACAAGAAATGTGAATAAAAATAGTGATGAATGTGTGTAAAGTCTTGCGTATTACTAAATTGCAACATGTGACGACAGTTTCTTCACAACTGTGGCCTTATCTAGAAATGGATTCTGAATGGATGCTTATGTAGATAACTGCTTCACCAGCCAGCTGAACCTGTCTTTTGTCTGCTTCCATGTTGGTTATGCTTTTTTTCTATAATTCCTGTAATTTCTCCATTTTTCTCCCATAATGACTGACTGCATCCATGGCTTGTTTCTTTCTGCTTGTGTAGAATAGTTTCCATTCATGTCCAACCTTTAACAGTTAAAGCCCCATTTTTAATTCCCTGTGCTAATAGAGTATAAATAATTTCAAATACATGTGAGATCCTATCAGACCAGGCCATAAATGTTTCTTTTTTTTGAAAGTCAGCATCGGGAACCTGCAGATTCCTAGTATGATCACTTTAGTGATCTGTTTTTATAGCAAAGGTTGAAAAATAAGATGTATCACCATATATACACTACTTTTGATGGGATTAAGACAATATTTCCTTACTGAATTAGTATAATTTTTGTACTTTAATCTTCCCTCTTGGTAAATACAGGTGGTTACTGAAATTTGAGTTGTGACATTTAGAAGTCTTGATAACTGACTAACATTCAGGTTCTGTTCTTTTTATTGACATCTGCAGCAGAGTTTGACAAAAAATACCAAACACAGTGATAATTAAGATATAGAAGCCTTATCGTGAAGTTTTTATGCTACTGTGCAAGGAAGCTTGAAGAGATTTTGTGTGGTCAGAAACAAGAAACTGAATCCTTAATGCATTAAAATTGAAGTAGTTAAGCTTTGTCTTAAGATTCGTCTTAATGTCAGTCACAGCCTAATTTTGTGTGCTACCCACTACACAGGACATTTTTGTTTCTCCTTACATTTTATATCACTTGATTGACTCTAAATAAGCTATTTTTATTAAATTTTAAAGGAAGTCTGAAGATAATAATACCAAATGTTCTGATTGTTAAGGCTTCTTAACTTGCATAGGACATAGATAGTGTTTGGTACTGTTTGCAGAAACTTATTGTTAATTTTGTAACTCTTCAAGCATAGAAATTTTTGAAATATATTTCTAGACTTTTTTATGGTTTTTGTTTTCAGTATTTAATCAGTTGCTCTATTGCTCAGTCTGCTCCATTGGAGACAGATTACATCATCAGCATAACTTTGACAAAACTCACTTTTTTATATTCAGATCAGTCCTACAATTTTATTTTTCTAGTGTGTACTGAGTCTGTCTTACGAATATTTATAAATAGCTGTCAACATTTAATTTGGGTTTTATGTCCAGCAGGTTCGCAGATGGGTCAGGGACTCTGGAGAGTTGCTAGGAACCAGCAACTGCAACACCAAGGATACAGTGGACAAGGCTATCTTACCAGAGAACATGGTAGGAGGATAGCTACTAGCAATGTTTCCAATACCAGCCATCGCAAACAAGCCCAAGGAGGCATTGACATCTACCACCTGTTGAAGACAAGAAAATCTAAAGAACAAGAAGGATTCATTAACCTGGAAATGCTACCACCAGAGCTGAGTTTTACTATTTTGTCATACCTGAATGCAACTGATCTCTGTCTAGCTTCATGTGTCTGGCAGGATCTTGCTAATGATGAGCTTCTCTGGCAAGGGTAAGCAAAAAAAAAAAAAAAAGTGCTTTTTGTCATTCTAACCTTAGCAAAGGTTTCCTAAGTTGAGATTTGACATAGGGGAAACATTAATATAGTTTAAAAATGTGTTATTCTGGATTTCTAATTGCTACCAGGTATTAATGGAGATTACTACATACACAAGTGTGCTTGGTGCAAGTATACATGTGTATTGCTACACACCTGTTGTTTGCTGTATCATGGGGAGAAAAACAAGGACTTACCTTCACTTTTGTATTAGCTCAAATCACATCTCAAATGTTTGTATTTGTGCTTCTCTGAACTTCAAGCAAGTATGTAGCTTGAGCAAACAAGCCTATTCAGATGAAGTCCCAGGTAGAAAGGCATGCGAACTCATCTACTATACTTGTGTTAGAGCAACTTAAGTGTATGCTTTTTGGAAGATGGTGATGGAAGGGGGAAAGAAAAGATCGGTTCTGCAGATATGTTCAGTGGAATTTCTGCAGTCGAACAGTTGAAACACATGTATATAACATATGCAGAATTTGTACACCCAGGAAATAAAGGAACGTTCTATCAAATAAAATAGTATAAGATCAAAGTTTAATTTAAATGTTTTCTTTGATATTTGGTGTTTTGCAACACTAGGAAAGACTCATGAAGTCATACTTATCTTTAGAGTAGATGGTCAGCAGAACTCATATCTTCTTTCACAACATATTCTTACCCCTTAGCAGACAGTAAGTAGTATTACTGTAATAGCTGGGTTGTTCAGGTCCTGTTTTGCTTCCTTTCATTGTGCTCTGCATCTCTTCATTCCTCATGTCTTTCTTTGCCCCTCTGCATTTGAATTAAGCAGCTTCCCTTCCTATCATGCTTTATGAACTCAGCAATAGGATAATGCAATTATAACTTCTTAGTCACAGTTGTTCTGCTGTTGGGAATGGTTGTCTTAGCAGGAAACAGGAATTCTAGTGAAGATCCTCCTAATCTTATGTGTATCAAATAGCTTGGTATTTGAGTAAGTATGCATTGTATGGTATTAGGTTCTTGGTATCAAAACCACACTAAATACAAATAAATTCCCTGGACCAAAGCTTAAATATACTAGAGCTTCTTAATTGTGTGCAGTATATATTCTTAATATACAGGGGGGAAAATACATATTTTTTCTCAGAGTTCATCCTGGGAAATAACTCATTCTTAGTGAAATCTTCCCAAATAATACTGTGTTCCAAGTATACATTTTGGTAGTGAAAATGTGTCCTGATTTAGCAACTTAGTAAAAATCTCAAGTTGCATAATCTCTGCAGACATCCTAGTCTTCAGTATTCCACCTTTACTGGATGTGTTTGAGTTTAGGCTTTGGCAAGTCCTATGGCTGCGGTTCCGAACTGAGTCCAAATAAGACCCAGGAGTTTCCTGAACTGAAAAAAAAAAATAGTTTCTCCCATGTCTTCATTGTGCCTAATTATTTACAAAACAGACCTGTTGAAGCAGAGCTACTAGTTCACTAAGGAATCTAGATAATAATTAGAGTGCCTAGAATGTGAAAGTTCAAGGGAATTTCAGATGGTAGCATCAAGGAAGCTGAGCTGAGGGACAGAAACTGATGAAACTGAGATATGGAGTCAGGGTGGGATAAAAGGGGAAGAAATTGAGAAGTGATGGAAGATATAGAGGGATAGGGCTGGATCAAATAATTGGCAGTGGTCAAGCCTGGAAAACTGGACAGTCAGGTGGAAAAGGACAGATCAGGAAAGCAGTGAGTTAATGGTGTAATTTTGTGCAGATGTGGTGTCCCACTTGGGGCACAAGAAAAGAAACACATTTTTTTAAACTATAATATTGGTACAAGAAAACAACTTGTCACAGTTATTCAGTGTTCAAATACTAGGAGTGCCAGAGCTCTCAGATGTGTGGATGTTGTTATGATGCCACCTGCTGGGATATGTGACTGCATTCAAGTACATGAAAACCCGTGTGGGAAGAAAAGAATACTCCTATAAATGGAGACTTTAGCAGCACACATGCAAAAGGCTTAATAACTTCAGTGTTCCAAGCAACCTGTTTCTAACTTTTCCTATAGTTTGAGTATTTGGCTTTGCAATGTTGATGACGTTTTGCTTCTGTAAAATACATGAAATACAGAAAGGAATTCTGACAATAGACTAATTCTATTTTCATAGGTTGTGCAAATCCACTTGGGGTCACTGTTCTATATACAATAAGAATCCGCCTCTAGGATTTTCTTTTAGAAAATTGTATATGCAGCTAGATGAGGGCAGTCTCACCTTTAATGCCAACCCTGATGAGGTAAGTGAACTGTTGCTGACAGTAATAAACAGTTAAAATAATTGTGATTGTGGTTTTATAATTACAGCCATATTAAAAGCCATATTTTCATAGGTGTTTGTTTTACTGTAGGAATGGTTACTACTAAGTTACAGCCCTGTCCTGATCTTTTTTTGCATATGGTACCTGTGCACATCATTTACATGGCTTGCCTCTTAAGTATTCTGTACAGCGGTCTGACCTATAGATGCCAGAAGTTCATAACTATGTATTGACTTAGGAATGAGGCAGAGATTCTAACTGTAGAGATAATGGTAAATTTAAAAAGGATAATGATATGCTTACATAAATTAAAATACTTCTGCAGAGTATGAGTTTGATCCCACTTCAGTTAAAGCAGGATGAAGTATAAAGTAACACCACTTACTTCTATGACAATTATAGTTTCTTGTAAGAGATTTTTAAATATTTCCACTATCAAGGAGCGAATGTTATTATTTCTGTGGATGTTTGTTATGCATAAGCATAATCTTTCTTTATAGTATATAACGATACATTTTCTTTCAAAAAATACCCCATGTCAGGTTTCCATTTATTAATTCATGTAACTAACTGGAAAAGTCAGTTTCTGCTTTCTCTCTGTCGCCTTTCAAAGAAGAAAGGAGTTCGAGAGTAGACAGCTTTTGCCTAGGAGATACACAATTAACGCCCAAGTGACAAAGATAGTCTTTTGTGTACAAAACTTCATGCTTCCTAGGAAAAGTACACACAACTGAACAAAAAGTGGTTTTAACTTCTTGCATATATTTGTACATGCACAAGGAAGTCATGATTGAATTAATCCAAAGCAGAAAAAGGATTAAGAGATGTGAAAAGATACACTTCTAGTGAACATAGTTCACTCTGCTGATATGATACAGAAAACGTGAATTTGTGACCACGGGGTGAAATAAATAAAGCAGTCATATGAATCATTACAATAATGTGATTTTGTATAAATTCTTGCTTTATCTCATATTCTGATTGATAAAGAAACCCACTATTATTAGTCACAAATTACAGTATTTTGTAATTTCTCTGGTAGAGCTCTTGAACTGTGATACACAGTGCTGAGATGCCTTATCAGCACCTTGCCACTTGAGTGATTAACATTGATT